CAGCAACAGCCGGTGCCTCCTCCCCGGCGGCACCAGGGCCTGGACTGCCCCAGGGGTCGTGGCCCCACCAGCCCGGGGGCACCGCTCTGCCACCCTGCGGCGCCTGGGGGCCGGGGCCAGGGCTGCCCTCACCTCTGCTTGAGCTTCTGCAGGTCGTCGAGGAGGTTGTCGCGCTCGACGTCGACGCGGGCGCGCTGCCCGGTGAGCACGTCGATCTGGCGGCGCAGGTCGCGCAGCTCCTCCTCGTAGAGCACCGCCACGCGCGTGGGCTCCTTGCCCCGCAGCCGCTCCACCTCGGCCACCATGAGCGCGTTCTGCTGCTCCAGGAACCGCACCTTCTCGATGTAGCTGGCGAAGCGGTCGTTCAGCTCCTGCAGCTCGACTTTCTCGTTGGTGCGGGTGGTCAGGAACTCCTGGTTCATGGCGTCCGCCAGGCTGAAGTCCAGCAGCTCGCCTGCGCCGGCGTAGGCCGAGGACCGCAGCCCCGGCACCGTGCGGGACGAACGCAGCACCGTCAGGCCGGGCACGCCCGAGCTACGCGACACCTGGTAGACGCGAGACGACACGGAGCTGCTGGAGCCGGAGCCGCCGAAGGAGGCGCGCGGGAAGGACGGCGAGCCCCCGCCGAAGGCGCGGCGGTACGAGGAGACCCGCTGGCTGGACGAGAAGTGGCTCATGGTGGCGGTGGCGGCGGTGGCGCGAGGCGGCGGCTGGGGCTGGGGCTGGGGCTGGAGCCGGGCAGGAGTCCTGGACGGGACCGGGCGCTGCTATTTGTATCTCGCCTGACATCACCGCCCCTCCTCGAACAGCTGCGGCCGGGGGCCAGGAGGCGGCCTCACCCCCCCGCCCAGGCCCAGCTCCGTGCACGGGCTCGTGCTCCGCCTGGGAGCCCTGCAGGGGGGCGGCCCCCCGCCCCCGAGACGGCCGCAATGCGGGGGAGCAGACGAGGCTGGGGGCATACGTCACCCCCCGCCTGGCCGGCTCCACGCCCCAGGGGGGCGCTGCCAGGAACAGACACCCCATGCAGCTGGGGTGGGGGGCAGGCTGGGGGGAGCAGCTCCCAGGGGCAGGGGACCTCCATAAGCAGCAGAGCCCCCCGGCCACGGCAGCCCCCTATAGCTAGCGTGGCCCCCGACAGGCGCCCAGCACAGACTCCAGCCCATGGTTCCTGGGGGTGACCCCCCCACCCCACCCCCTGGAGGGGACCCATGGTGCCACTCCTCCGCCCCCTGCGTCTCCTGCCCCTGCCCCCCCCACGGATGGGGGGGCCATGGTGCAGCGCCCAGGCCTGACACAGGTGCCACGCTGACCCCTCCCTGCCATGTCACTGAGTCACTGCCCCCCCCCCGTACCAGCATGACGCGGCGGAGCCACGGTGATGTCCGTGGCACCTAAATAGCTGCCTCCCCCGTCCAGGGGTATTCCTGAGCCCGGGCCGGGCCGGAAGGACAGCACCAGGTGTTGGGGCAGGGCGCGACGGGCGCGGCACCATCGGCATCCCCCCAGGCCGGGCCGGGCAGCCGGGAGCTACAGGCCACCATAGGGAAACTGAGGCACGTGCCCAGCCTGGCCCGGGGGGAACCTGGCACCCAGCCCGGCCGCGGCCTGGCTTAGGCCATCCAGGCAGTGATGCCCACACTGTACCTCCCTGGCACCCCCCTCCTCCTGGCCGGGCTGCTTTGGGGGGCAGCAGAGCCCCCAGCACCTGCCCCGGGGACACCCCCCAGGCCGGCTCTTTGGCCCCGGGCACAGACAGGCCCTGCAGCTCTTGCCTGGCTCCTGCACCTGGCTCTGGGTCCAGGGAAACTGAGGCAGGCAGCTGGAGCCTCAGGTGCCAGAGCAGCTCCAGTACCCATGGCGTGGCAGGGGCTGCCTGTGTCCATCTGACAGCCCCCCAGGCTGCCCTACCCCCCAACCCAGGAGACCCTCCCTCAGGTCCCGGGTGCTGAACCCCAGTTCTGGCTCCAGCCTAGGCCCCGGCCCCGGCCCCCATCCCGTGCGGAGCTGGAGCTGGGCCAAGGAGGCGCCGGAGCCGGCGCGTGGCGGCTCCTGCGGCCCCAGCTCGGAGCTGCCTTTAAAAGGGAAGGAATTTCCAGATGGGGATGATGGGGGAGGGCTGGAGTGAGCTGGCAGGAGCCTCTCCCCCCTGCCCCGGCCCTGACCCCCCCGCCTGCATTCCAAGCCTGCCTGACCCCTGACCCCTGACCCCAGCCGTGGCAGGGCCCCAAAGCCTGGAGCCCCCCATGGCCCCATCCCACGGGGCTGGGGGAGGGGATGGAGCTGGGGGAAGGCCTTGCTGGAGCCGCCGGCCCCTTTCGGCAGAGACCCTGCCCTGGCCCCGATCCTGGAGCAGGCCGTGCAGGACCTGGCGGCAAGCAGCAGGACCGCGGCCAGGCGGGGCTTTCCCTGACCCCTGGCCCTGCCTCTGGGCTCGGCCCCTGGCACTGGGTGGGGGGCCCCGGGAAGCTTGGCTGGGTCCCCCTGCCTCCGCCACCCAGCCCCCGCCTGGGACCCGCGGACAAGCCAAGCGGCGGGAACCGCGCCCCACGCCGGCTCCGCTCCTTTTACAGCCATGCGGCACCGTGGAGCCGACGAGGCGCGCTGGGGGCGGGGGTCCATCCCCACGTCCCCTCCCTCCCCGCCCCGGTACAGCCGCTATGGTCTAAATAGGACATGGTTCTGCCAGCACCGCCTCTGCGGCACCGGACCCGCGGCCACGGCTGGCGGCTACGAGCTGACCGCTCGGGGCCGGGGTCTGCCCCTGTGGCCCAAACCGGGGGGGCAGTTGCCATTAACCCCTCGCAGCCTGCCCCCCGCTTGCCCCCTCCGTGCTGCCGGCCCCGAGGTTTCCTGCAGCCGGGGCCGCAGCCAGGGCCGAGCTCCGGGAGGAAGGAAGTGGCGGAGCTGGGGCGGGCGCGGGCAGGTGCTGCCGGACAGGAGTCAAATCGCACCGAGCTTTTTCTGGCCCCGGTGCCCAGAATAGCCACGACCGCCCTGGCCGCGCCGCGTGGGCCTGGCCGCGCACCGGGTGCTGCCACTCAGGCCGGGGCGGGGGTGCGGGTGGTGGG